ATGCATTTCTAAACATTCTCCGTCTAAATTGTGAGTTACATCAAACATGCGCTTTGTAAGTTTGGTCTCGAGGGAAACTCACTATTCGTTTATGGATTGAAAATTCGAAGCACTATGTTTCTCTCGCTGCTGATAATAATCATCTTTTGTTTCTGTATATCATGTTCTATGCAAATATTTGGCTGATGAACTTCGGTAATCCGGCACCGTTGACTACAGTTTCCTTTTCGTGTAAGTTCAGTCGATTTACATTCATCAATTTCGTGTATGAGAGGAAGGGGACACGGACATTTACTTCCATTCTTTCATTTTATTTCCTCACCCCACCCCCTCCTCAAATAATTGAACAGGTGAAGGAGCTCGGAGTTCTATTCCTAAACTGTCCTTTGTTTGTGGAAGATTTGAACAAAATTCACAAAGGTTATTGTGCCGCTGCGGACAGTATACCCCGAGAATGGCCGTCGGATCTGATTACCCAGTACAATCGTTCGAACCCAATGCGAGTTTCAATCAACGGATTCCCATCCCTGGTCCACTTAAGCGTATGTTCTGCTGTATCGTTTGTGCGTGTGTTCTTATCTAGTTTTCATAGGTACGGTTTGTTGCACATTTTTACTTCTTTTTACTGAATAAACAAAGATACAATTTTCAGGTAGGGGTAAACGGCCAATCAAACGACCGCCATACAACACACATCGAGTAGGGAAGTCAGGTATTGGTTGTGGGATTCGAACCCACGTCCTCCGGGGTGATAACTTGGTGACGTTACACCCGGGCCACCATCACCCGGTCATTTAGCATTCATGTCGGAACACACTCCAAGCAATTTCCTCGTTTACTGTTTTTGCACCTACTTCTGATTGTGGGATAAGCCAACTTCATCGAGATCGTGTTTATGACGGAGAAGTGGTATAGTGACCGAAGGACAATTCTTTTTCTTCGGTCTTCACGGAGTATTCAGATCACACTTTTTACATCTACTTCACTGTTCTCAAACTTTGGCAACTACAACCATGCAAACCGGTTCATAGTCAAAACTTATTGAATGCGGGTAACCAAGCACTAGTCCACAATTCCAACTGCGTAGAGATTCATATTGCCTGACAAGTCGCATTGGCGTTTGCAAGTAAATAAAGGTCCAGTGGCTCCGGTGGTGTTGCTTTACTAACTCATTCCCAAGAATCGTCAACGACTGGTGGTGGTCAGTGGTGCACCATTGTTCTTAAGGTTATAGGACAGAGTCCTGTCCCGGCCAATCAAACAAGTGGTAGACACTTTCGTTGTCATCTAGCTTAATACGACGCCAATCCCAATGAGCCTGTTCTTCACTCCAAATCTCAGGACCTGGGTTTTTGTAACTGGGCTGTAATTCCTCTCTCTCTCTCTCTCTGAACTACGGGTTGTATACCAATGCTGTTCGCCTCTCAATGGTGTGTAATGAAAAATCGCAATCACTATATTTTCTAAACAAAGTGCTGTCTGATTGTGAGATGAGAAATGTGAAGGTGGTGGTTCAGTTCAGTTCTCACAGGACGATTTGAGGCTCTTACCAATCGAGCGTCCAGATTTGTGTGTTTTTGGTGAGTTTCATTGACTTCCAACACTTCGATATTTAATTTTTCTGAATAGTGGTGGTGGTGCCCTTTATGGTGTACCATGTTTTAGGGTAAACAGCAAACATGATTTAACACACATTCACCATGATCCTCGACTTAGTTATCAAAACCGGCAACCATATGCACACGGACTTGGCGGCGTCCATGCGTGGGTTCTAATCCGACCGAGGCTACTGAACGCTTTTCAATCTCAACATAAGACTTCAATTTGATAAATAATCATTTAAATACTATTCAATGCTCCAGGAAGTCGGTGCACCTACGGAATCCTTGTGTGTGCCAAATAGTTATTTCTCGTCTGTATCCCTCCCCCACTTCGTGAGTGAAATGACCTTTAATAAATGACCACGTTGGATACACATACACACATACAATCACACTCCTTTTATAGTTCAAATAAATCTGAACATATTGAGATGGAAATCTTTGTAATGACTGACAATGGGGATTCACTAGACAGCTATTTCGTCTTATTTGGGACTCTACAACAATGAGTACAGGTTGTGTCCGTATCAGGGCTCGAATCGCGGACCAAATATTCAGTCTAAAATGACCGCATGATACCGTAAAGACAAGTTNAAGTTTACCGAAAGCCCTTATTTACCTATACCATTTGTTCTGATCAGACCACATAAAGTGGCAATAAGATCGGTGTTATTGAGTCGGGGAAAGGCCAATTAAACCGCCAGAAATTAAAAAAACATGTATTGTTACATGAATCGATCACGAGATTTTTTGAGTTTTCATCAACATATCGATCGGTTAGATTGTGTGTGTCTGGCATAGAGCTGCATGCGGCGTTACTATCATTAACACGATACTTCACTAGTCCAATCGTTCTGTTACCTCAACCAGGGAGAGATTAAGACCGTAGATACCGTAGATATCGAAAACGGTTTCCGACGCATCACACACGATCATACCAGTTGAATCAGGTCCCTCACCCGGGAGGTAAATTCCTGTCTTTTTCTCTAATAAATTTGCAGATCACGGTATTCTTTATCCGTATTTCGTTTTGGGAGCAGGGTCGCCGTGTAAAAAACAAATGAAACGTGAACTGAAAAGCTACGAAACAATAGACAGGTACTTTGACCTGAATGGATCTCTTCAGTAGTGAATGAATCCATTGATCTATTAGGGGTTCGAACCTGGATCATCACAGGCAGAGAGCAAGCATGCTACCCACTCGGTCACCCTGGGGCAACTGATCAGACCGTGTCTTTTTTCATTTTCCTTATACACGATATGGCACAATCAATCTTTGCGAGTTGAATAAAGCTATTTGGACTTTTGGTCTTTTGGCATTGTACCGACGAATCTGTCTCATGTATCTGTTATCAGTTCACCTACCACTTTCGTCAAAACGAATTTGCTTTCACAAACAACAGCCAGGTTTCACACGCTTTCAGTATATCACTTTTTACCTCTACCTGATGACCATTTAACCTGAATAGATTTCCTCCTGTCTACTTCAGGCCTCCCCGAAGGAATTCAATCCACCTGGACGTTCATTTGACTTGGACACAATTTTGGACGTGATCAATAAGGCGGAAAAATTTATCCACATCTCTGTGATGGACTACAGTCCTGAGATTGTCAGCTACGACCAGCATTTGCGAAGCGAGTATGTGTTGGGTGGGATTTTTGTGCTCTTTGTTCTGCCTGATAATCACAGCGAGCTCTGCTCTTGAAGACGGGGCACGATTACAAGATGGTGTGCACTGTTCTAAGGGATCACCTTGTGGTTGCGAATCAGGATTGATCATTGGAAATAACTTGAGTGATTCTCGATTGGATGCGGTACCTTTAAAACCTTACGGAGTGACTCTATTCTCGGAATTATGTATTTCACACTAGTCTAAGTCCAAACTATGTCTCTAACAAACCACCGCGCGACAATACTTACGAAACAGAGATCAGTCTATAGTTTTGTTATGGTTGGTATACTGTTCAAACCAAATTAGGTAAATCGTTTTGACGGACTCATTACTGAAGCTTTCGGTTAGCTGAAGCTTGACTCGCAATACAACGGGGTGGTGTGCGGGTATTTACGGTTATCCACCGGCGGTCGGTATTCGGTCCATCAATCAATGCACTTTTGGGATGAGGTTAAACGTCCAAGGTACCTGGATTACCTTGATGGGTGGTGGTGGTTGTGGTGCAGTGGTTTAGCTGCTGTCACCAAAGTACTTTGAACCCTATGGACTG